TCATTCCCCTAATGTATTAGATGAACTAATTTAAAATTTAATAAACGTCATGGGGCCTTAATAGCACATGAGCTAGCATATCAATATCAATTTAACGTTTTATAAAATAATAAAATATACATATACATCTACGTATCAGACGTAGGCAAAATAACATTCCCAAAGTAATAAAAATAAAATCCTATTACACTTATCTCCCACTCCGTGATGTCAACAGGCAAAAGATGCAGCCTGTGGCTCGAGCAAAAACTAGAAGATCATCTCTTCGCAAATTTTCAGTTCAAATCACCATTACGACTTCTTCTCAGAAAAAGAACACGTGTCGCTCCCTTTTTCTTCAACACGGACGAAACCTCGATCGCGCAGAATCGCCGTACACAAAACCTACTTCAGCCAATTGTCACTCTCGAACAAATACGATTCACGAATTGCACTCCTGTGTCACCAATAAGCTTTTACGATTTCAAAAAGAAAACTAACTGTATCATGCTGGTATCTCTGTATTACCCAATAGAAATATTTGACATTCGATATCCAACCAATATAATCTAAAAAAAGATTCAACAAGTATAAATTGAGGTTTAGTGCTAGTGAAAATTAATAATAGTTAACGAAATGTGCTGTTTGTAAAGTTTATTTACTACAACGATTGGTGTCGAGTACTTGAGAAAATTACCATAACAAGGATTGATATTAAATATAAATTTTACAATAAATATTACAATTTGCACAAAGAAGGTATCATAAAACGAGTTTACCTAGGCCTGTTTAAGTTGAAAATATTTTAATTTTTGTAAAAATAAAATCCCTATAATTTTAAACTTTGAGAACTGGATAATATAAATGTCTGTTGCGTAAATGTTTACAGTGATACAGGGTGGAGGCTGAATGTATGGAAAATTTGACTAGTCGGATAAGTTTTATTTTAAGCAAATATGGATATGGATACACAATTATATCCTGTTTCAATAAAAAAAAACTCCTTAGACTAGTTTAATTTTGATAAAATAATCTTCAATTTCGAATGTAAAATTTCTCCAAGAAATTTATATTACTTAACACGATTACATATAATACTGCAAATTTCTACTCACTAAGAAATTGAAATCACTGCTTACAGTTTACTGGTTTTCTGACAGATGGTTTTTTATGTCTTTTTTCACTCTTTCAAACATCTCGCTCCTTCTTCCTAAGGAGGTAGGGTGACTTAGGTCCAGCCACTGGCGCTCACGTCAAATCAGGCTTGTGTTCTAATCTGCCTGTCCCTCCTCTGGCAGTACTGCAGCTCAAATGACTTATTGTACTACCATTTGGATGTCCTGCTTTTTCCCATTTATTCAACTCATGCATTATATCCATCAAGTCCATCATATAAGTTGGTTCAGAGGCCTACGAGTTCGGTCACTTATTCAGACCATAGCTGAGTCATCTCCTGTTGCTGACAGATGGTACTAGAAACAGATCCGTGAGAAAGACAGATATGATTTTAAGATGAACCATTACTTTAAGATGTTTGATTCTGCCAGAACTTTAAATATGTATTTATATTTCTTGTTTTTTATTAGAAATAATTTACAGTTTAAAAGCAAGTACAAGTTTAACACTGGGATACTTATGAATGTACTTTCTATATATTTTTGATTCTATGTTCATATATCTCCTCTTTTCTTCTTTTGCCATTTTTATTCCAAATAGGAATGATGTTGGATTCAGAACTCTGATTCTACTATATATAGCTTTTGTTATTGAAAACAGGCAGCTAGGAGCTCTTGAAAAATCCCTGTATCTTGTCTATCTGGAGATATTCTTCCTTATTGAGTTTTACTTTATTTTTAATTTCATACCTTAAATGTTTTAAAATACTCAATTGACTACTTATATCTATTGAAATAGAAATTATATCATTATCTATTGTTCTTTTTTTTTGTTTTTTCGTGAATTTTTATATTTCAGGACAGCAAGAAAAAACCTTTCCCTTCTAGAATTTTTTTACACTCTTACAATATACCTTTTTTCGAATATTTAATCAGTTATTTGAAATATCTGCTAGCGAATTAAAAATAAATACAAAAAAAATAATTTTCTAATTCATATAGGTAGTTAAATTTTCAGATTAGTAAGTCAAATACGTGTTATAAGAATTGAAATCTGTAACAATTTGTATTGGTTTGGATTGGTTTTACTTTGATACTGTCACAGTTTGTCAACTTTTTCAATGCACAGGGTTGTTATACAACATGTTTACAAGAAATTTTTTTATAAAAAAACTTTTTAACTATATCTTTATTAATAAAATAACAGAATTAGAGATTTACAGGTGAGAAAAACCCAAAAAACTCCACCCACCATCATTGACATGGTAAGACACTGGGATTCAAATATGAATGTCTTATCAATAATAATAAATTACTGCCAATTTGCTACCCATTAAATCTTACAACAAACCATGCAAACTAATTAGAAATTAACTTGTTTTGCTCTGTGACCTGAACTAGCGTGTCAATTACCACTAAATGATACTCGAAAATTACAAACTTGTTACTAACTTTTTCTAATGCACGTATCTATATATTTAAGGTGATAATAGTGGGTTTCCTTACGACACTTAGGCCTTATTGAGCTCATTGTACATCCTCTTGAATAGATGAGGCCTCTCTTAGCTCGTCAGCCAGCCCATTAATTAATGTAGTTGACAACGTCACCAAAAGGTTTCACCTTCGGTGTAAATATGAGTTATGTCTTCAATTTACGGCTCCTCTAATACTTCCTTCTAATTTTAATTCTTTAAACATAAATAATATTAGTATATAATATTGTTCAAACGAATCTTCCGCAATGCTATACATTTTTAAATGCCTATTCTAATCGTATTGCAAAAGAAAAAATAAATTTACATGTCTGTAATGGTACATTTAATTTTCCAGAAAAGTGCGTCCCTGTGACCCCTACCGGAATTCGCAATAATTTAAATTTTCCAGAATCATAACTGTTAGCGCCATCTCGCGGAAGCTGCCCGAACCAACCTTCAGCGGAGCCTCGAACCAACTTTAGTTGATTTCGAGTCGGATAGAGGTCTGGAGTGCGCCCTCATCGAGATTTAATCGATAGAAGGGGAAACGCCTATATTTGCCACGTGGAGATTCGCTGGAAACACATGGATCCGCGGCACATAACCTAAAATCGTTAATTATTTATACATACATGTATGGACGAGAAAAGTGTTTTAAAACGTGATATAATTCTGTGAACAAGGCTAAGAGGAAAATATAAATTATTTAGTTTAATAAGTGACAGTCGACATTCGAAAGCTTTCGAGTTCATAAAAATGTAAAAAGAGCTATAATGGATATATTTATTTTCATTTTTGAAAACAAATTTTCAATTTTTACTTACTTTTTCAGGATCGGATCGGAACTGCCAAAACTTTACGTATTCATAGAATATTAAGTAACAGTTTTCAAGACTTTAATGGCCTTTTTTGGTGACGTTTATAACAATATAGGGCATGGGATATGGTCCGTTATTAAACGGAATATCGGTTACTCGACCTAAAACTCTGCTCAACATTCCTGAAAAATCAGTTAAATTAGGGAAGGGGTTACCTGAAAATGGTGACTCAAACGTCAACTCACTAACCGATATATTTTTATGGTTACAATTAAGTCAAATGTCAATCTGTCACAAAAGTGATGTAACTCTCGACCGTGGTTTAAATGTTACCAAGAAATTAGTATTTTCCAGGAACCACTCTTAAAAAATCCTGGTTACTTGCGGGTAGTTCTGTGAATTATGTCAATTGTCATTGTTTTGATCTTACAGCTGATATTGGAAGTTTTCCTGTTAGCTAATTTGAGACATCGATTTGGTTACGTGGGATCCGGGAATTGTTACTGAAGACTGTAGTTCTTCTGCAGCGCAAAAATCTTTTGCCGACGGTAGATGTGACAAAGAAAAAATATTCTGCTCTCGGCTGTTTTGAATTTTTTTAATCAATTAAACATTTTGATGTTTAAATTGTTTCTTCTGTTACATAAAGTCTCTAATTTTTTTCTTTTAGATATGATATAAAAATCCCGAATACAATATACTATTTAGCGGAGTACTCATCAAGGAGAAAAAAATATTTTTGTATTATGCAGGTACCTGTAATTATTATTTATTTTAGATAACTAATTAATAATCATGGATGTTTTAATTAAATGAGAAGATGGAACAGAAAATGTTGCAATTAAAGAATTGTCTCTTATTGATGGATCAAACCGTTTCGAAAAGAATAAAAAAGTAAAAATGGACTATGGAGGAAAATTCTACTATGGAATAATAGTACAACAGCTCTGATGATAATAGCCAGGAGGAAGTTGGCTTATCAAAATCTCCTTTAAGCGAATGTGGTTCTGATGATAATATGCCTCCCACTGTTAAAAAAAAACAAGAATAAAGTTGATGTACCAAACACACTTTTGAGACGGCCGATAACAAGACAAGCTAGAAAACGAAAGTATACTCAATCCAATAGTGAAAGTGAGAATTCACTATTTGGAGATTACAGTGATAAAGACCCTGATTTTGTTGTTTATGAATGTACCGCGAGAAAATGTAAAAACAAAAGCATTAACAAGTGTAGTGCATTACTTTGCAAAGAAGTTGTTTGTAATAATCATTATCTATGTCGGCGTCACTTATTTAGTCTAAAAAGTTGGACAAATAAAGAATTAGAGAGAAAGTCTAGAAAGATAAATAAAAGAAGCCCGAAGGCAAATGAAGCAGCTAACTTAGGTAATGAGGACAGCAACGAAAAGCTCTGTGAACACCCAAATTGTTCAATTGAAACATATAGTACTTGTATCTGCTTAAAAGTCTTACTCTGTTTTGAACATTTTAAAGCACATAATAACTGCTGCTCACACCAAGATTCATTTATAAAAGTCAGGACAATAAATTCATATAAATTAGCCAAAAAACTGAAGAACAAAGGACAGTGTTATGTAAGACCGAAAACAATGAACCTTATGCCACAAAAACAATTGGGATCTCAATGTAATGGGGAATCATGTTCAAAACGTAATAAGAAATGTAGTCTCTTCAGTGATGGTAAAAGACAAGAGATTATGCAAAATTTTTATCCAATGGGATCCTTGCAGTTACAAAGAGAGTACATTGCAAGGTACATCAAAATGGAAGAAATCAAACAAAAAAACTACACAAAAAGAGGTATCTCGAAGAAATTTAAGCAATTATTAAAAGAATTGTTTTGTAAAAGTATTTAGTAATATAAAATATAACTAGAGTATTTAGTATTATACGTATTTTTATTTACGAAAGTGAAGTTTTTGTACGTATTTTTTTAAATGTTATAAATTCTATTTATTTTTGTTTATTATTTAGAATATTGTGATGTGTCTCTTAACTCGATTTTTCTTATTTTTATTTGTTTTTTTTTAATACATTGTAAACTACAAAATAATAAAAATAATAATGATTCTAGAAAATCATAAAGCACCTCTTTAAATGTATGCTTCCCTCCGGTTAGCAAGGCTAACTACACCACTGAGTAAGTCGTGTTTACTGCTAAACGATATTGGAACATTCCTAAATGTTTATTTGAGTTAAAATTATCCTATAAAGCTACATACATTAATCATCTATCAAAAACATACAGTTTATTATAGATCCTCGATCTGCACGTTCATAGAAAGTGATCAAATTATTTAAACAATCTAGGGATCTTATTCGCCATAATCTTTGACATTACCTTACTACATTCGTTGTAATTAGTGACTAACCTAACTTTTTTCTTCAGAAAATATAAAAAATTATTTAAACTAAATGAAGGATAGGAAAGAAAAGTCAGTTGTCTCATAATTATATGTATTTCTTTTTGCGTCGGTTTCGAAGTCTAAAACTTTATTTTCTGACACGCCTAGTGGGTAAGAGCAAAGAACAATAGTGAAATTGTATTAGTATAAGCAAGAAAAGAATGATTTAATTTTAAAAATAAACTAGTAATACTAATAAATTCATATTATTAACAGTTATTTATTAAAACTAAAATAGTTACCTGCATTAATATACTAACATGACGTAGGATATTTGAAAAAGTTACCATACGTAATAAATAAGAAAAAATAGCAAACATTGAAAATTTTTATAAAAAATTGAGAAATAAGGGATATAACTAAATCATTTTTACTTTCCTATCTGTATACAGATATAAGGAAAGTATAGGAATCATGATTTTTTTCGACCTCGAGTTTTCGACGGATTTTTACGTTTTGAGGTCCCCTGAATCCGTTTTGACTATTTTCGCGATAATGTCTGTGTGTCTGTGTATCTGTGTGTCTGTGTGTCTGTGTGTCTGTGTGTCTGTGTGTCTGTGTGTCTGTGTGTCTGTGTGTCTGTGTGTCTGTGTGTCTGTGTGTCTGTGTGTCTGTGTGTCTGTGTGTCTGTGTGTCTGTGTGTCTGTGGGTCTGTGTGTCTGTGTGACTGTGTGTCTGTGTGTCTGTGTGTCTGTGTGTCTGTGTGTCTGTGTGTCTGTGTGTCTGTGTGTCTGTGTGTCTGTGTGTCTGTGTGTCTGTGTGTCTGTGTGTCTGTGTGTCTGTGTGTCTGTGTGTCTGTGTGTCTGTGTGTCTGTGTGTCTGTGTGTCTGTGTGTCTGTGTGTCTGTGTGTCTGTGTGTCTGTGTGTCTGTGTGTCTGTGTGTCTGTGTGTCTGTGTGTCTGTGTGTCTGTGTGTCTGTGTGTCTGTGTGTCTGTGTGTCTGTGTGTCTGTGTGTCTGTGTGTCTGTGTGTCTGTGTGTCTGTGTGTCTGTGTGTCTGTGTGTCTGTGTGTCTGTGTGTCTGTGTGTCTGTGTGTCTGTGTGTCTGTGTGTCTGTGTGTCTGTGTGTCTGTGTGTCTGTGTGTCTGTGTGTCTGTGTGTCTGTGTGTCTGTGTGTCTGTGTGTCTGTGTGTCTGTGTGTCTGTGTGTCTGTGTGTCTGTGTGTCTGTGTGTCTGTGTGTCTGTGTGTCTGTGTGTCTGTGTGTCTGTGTGTCTGTGTGTCTGTGTGTCTGTGTGTCTGTGTGTCTGTGTGTCTGTGTGTCTGTGTGTCTGTGTGTCTGTGTGTCTGTGTGTCTGTGTGTCTGTGTGTCTGTGTGTCTGTGTGTCGCATAACTCATGAACCGATACACAGAAAAACACCAAATTTTAAACTTAAGCTTTGTTCCAGCGTCCAATGTGTTGATTAGATTTTGGTCAGTGTCGGAACATCTGGGGGGTACTTTATAGGTGGTCAAAAAAATTGTTCAAATAAAAGTTATTTCTAATATTATTATCTATAATTTTTGCTTTATGTCAAAATTTCCTGAAATGGTCCGTATTCGAGAAATTTGACAAAATGTGCAGAATTCTGATTTTTATAAAAATTGTTGAAATAAAAGTTGTTTGCGATATCGATCTCTATAATTTTTGTTTATACATTATTTTTCTAAAATGGGCCGTAATGGAAAAATTGTAGGAAAAGTGCTAAATTTAAATTTTTCAGTATTTTCATTTTCAATGAATATCTATAGAAAAATGTTTCGAGGTAGATGTATGTGGAAAATTTATAAATTTATTTTATCCTCTAAACATTTATGAAGGTGCTGCAATAGGTTGTACAAAATAACCGGAAAAAGCATGTAATAACTAGATAGGAAAGTCATGTGTTGGACACATCACATTTTTAAAAAAGTTTAAGAACACAATAGAAAAATTATCAATTTAAAAAATCCTAATATGGGTTCACACTATCCCCTATCTTGACAGATATATTCATGCACAATTTTGAAAAAGGCAAACCTTTAGATAATAATAATTTTCACTTCTACATTAATTTTTATTTTAAGTCTGACGATGACATTTTGATATTATGGACAGGTAGTTTAAATTTGTTAAATAATTTCTTAACTTACATTAATATTACATAACAATAATAATTTCACACTCAAATTAGAAATCGATAAAACATTGAACTTCTTTGATCTAAAAATCTTTTACAAACATAATAATAAACTCCTTTTTGACATTTTTAGAAAGGAGCTATCTACACTTGGTAGGTAAAATCAAAGCTTGTTTGAAGTACGCGATTCAAAAACTAGGTGAAGCAAAGGCAAATTTAAAACAAAAAAATAAAATATTATCAAGAAGTAAAATAAATAAATACAAAATCATGAAACAAGTCCAAGAATCACGTTCTTAGTAACTAAAAGTTAAAACTGGACTATTGTAAATAATTTTTTATTTTTGTTATTTTTCTTTGAAAATATGCCTGTTGTGGTATTAGCCAAAGAAGATTTTTCTATATTTTAATTATTCATTTCAAAAGCAAACTATAGAGACAAAAAAATTACACTGCAAGTCAAATTTTAAAAATAATTGCTTCCTGGTCTATACATTTATTTCGTTTCGACGTAAGTCAAAAGAAAAATCGACTATCAACATCTCTCTTTTTTATTGCCAGTGGTGGCGGCCAAAAATTATTGTAGAGTCGTAAATCAAGTTAGATCTGGGGTCGCGTGCTCCCAATTCTATTTATGAACAGTTTGCGAGCAGGGTAAAACTTATTCATGAAGGTGTCCAGGCTGTTAATCTTTTGGTTTTTCTTCGTTCGCTCGTTCGTTTTATTTTTTATTGTCGCCCTAGCATATGCGAAGGTACTTTATGGGTCCCTTGGTCAGATAGTGACATTGACCTGACAACGTTGCTTTTTACGTAAATCCCAATAATGACTTCGTTACAACGGGCTTTTGCTTTGATCCTCTTTTTTATACCAGTAAATATTAAACAAAAATAGGTATATTTTAATTGATTGAGGAATTTAGGAATATTTTGCAAACTATTGGCATTAAATTACAAATCACCAAATTATTTGGTAGGTTCAAGATGATTCAACAGTTCAAGAATTATTTTAAAATACTCAAATAGGAGGTAATCGTAAAATATTGCAGTGGCAAATTATTAAATTCACAATGCCCTAATAACTGAGTATCATTAAATTTTTTTACTAAGGGACAGAAAGGACCTTACCGTCATTCCGTGGTTGAACAGGAAACTGGAACAAAAATGTCCGACATCTCTTCAAACGAGCTAAAGACTTAAGCCGAAGTAACCAATATCGGAAGTAACTAATACAACGGGGCCATAAGAAAGGCCAACAGGAAATCATCGAAAAAGTTTTGTCCATCGCTAGATTTGCATCAAAGATCCGAGACAGGAAGCCTATATGGAGTATATAGTAAACGTTAGAGAATTTTCTATAAAATCATTTCTCAAATAAACTAGAGGACATGGAAATGTACCCTTTTCTTCTATGGGATCGACCACGTAACCCTAAGACTAAAATTACGTTGTAAAGTTGCCTCTACTAAAGCCACGTAATACGTAAAGAGTTTAATCTCCCTGTTCAAATCACCCAGAGAGGAAAGAATCTTTCTTTCACTTCTGCAAAAAGAAAAATATTTTTTATACCCCTCCTTGTAAGACTGTTTAGGGCAAGCCTAACGTGGGTCTATACTCCACTAGGGTAGATAATAATCAACACAAGGATGGTGGAGTAGATATATACTCACTAAATCCTATAGTGTTATATTTTTAAAATTATTCCTTTTAAAGACACTCGAAAGAATTCAAGATAGGCATTTTAGAAAAGGAAGCCTGTGGAAAAGACCGTTAACTCCTTACCAATGTACCACCAAGCAGAAAATAGATCATGTTCTGCATAATTTACCTAAAGTAGTGAGAGATTGCGGCAGGTGCCTTGGTATGGACGGCGCGTCCTTCTTCAGTCTTAATTCTCTTGCACAAAGAGTTACTTTCAGGCCTTTCAGAGGGTGTCCACAAGGCGGAGTACCTTTACTCCTGTTGGTTAACCTGCTAAGCAATCTCTCTCGGCAGGAGTAGACTTCCAATATTATGTGGACGATCTGGTTATAATTAGGGTTAAAGATGAGGAGGTAATCTTCAGCATCCTTCAACAAACTCTAAAATCGATCAACAGATAGTTCACGAAAAAGAGAGAGAGAGCCTTCGAAAAACTGTTTAGAACACGAAGAAAACTTGACAGATTCCAACTGATTTCTCTTGTAGAGAAAGTGAAGTATCTAAGTTATCCCCAATAAAAAAAAATACAATATAAAACCATCAACGAAGCTGGACTATTCATCTGGACTCTTAAAAGGATCAACCCCAATTCTACTGGATTTACAAATTATGAAACCAATGGTTACATATGGCTCAGTTGTCTGGTGGGATAGCTAGAGCAAAGTAATCAGGAATTCAGCAGCTTGCGTGCGTCGCCATCACTGGAGAATGTTCACTATACCGACGGGTGCCATGGAAGCTAAGCTAGATCTACTCTTTTCACATTTGGCTGATCTCTTACAACTTCTTGATGATAGGTATTTAATGTGAGGAAGAATTGGAGTGGGACAAAATGAGATTGTTGAGTAAATTTAATTTACCATTACATTATGGGTATAGTCTTATACTCCTCGCTAACTTCCAAATCGCATCCTCAGTCCATACAGAGATGAATGGAAGTTGATCAATCTTCCTATTAATTGATTCAAAGCTAATGTGGAACTGTATAAATATCTTCGATGCTCTCGCTAAGTAAAAAGGAAGTTCATAGGATCAGAACAATTCTTTGTCATAGTAGAGAGCACTGAACAAATGGTATAATACTAATACTGATGTAGTAGGAAGAATATATACTTTTTTGCCGAAGTAAGGTTAGGACATTTAACAGTTTAAAAAGAATATGTTTTTAACAATTATCAAATTGTCGATTAAAAAAAAAAAAAAAACTAGATTCCATATCTTCGGTTTTACCCGACTGGGGATTACTGACTATAAACAAGTCTCATCTAACCCCAACTATGACCCTATCAAAATGTGTCATTTGTATGGTACCATAATTTAGACATAAGATGCAATAAAACTATTTGGATCGCAGTAGAAGGCACTATGATCATTTCACCCATTTTCAACTTAATCCAACAAATAGCAGTCGCGTACTACCATAAAAGAATGTGCAAATACAAATTAAAAATCATGATAAAGGTAAAACAATAATTAAAGCCCAATAAATATCGATACTAGGTGGTTTGCAACTCACGGTAAGTTTGAGTATTTATTGATATGGAAACAAACAGAGATTCTTACAAGGGGTGGTTCGATCTTAAGAAATTCAAGAAAAAAAAATTTAAACCAAATTAAATTGGTCACTGCTGTTCTCCTCTGTTCTCCTTCCTGATCTCCAGCCTCCAGTCTCCTTTTGATATCTTCGTATAATTTCTTCTGCTTCTCCTGCTTCTCCTACTACTCTATCTTCTCAAAATATTTCTTTTTATTATTATTACCTCGTTCTGTTCACCTGTCTCTCGTTCCTTTTTTAATAATACACTTTTTAATAAAATTTTGCTACCTTTTTAACTTTCATTATCTTCTAAATTAATCCATACAATATCTTTAACAATCTTTTTAATATCTTGTAAACATTTTTGACAATCTAAATTCCCTGTGACAATTTCTTCCAAAATATCCCGATTTTCACAATATAAATTTAGATTTTTTACAACTTCACCACCCTAGGATAGTTAATAAATTTTGATGATGTCACATTTTTGAATATTTAGAGATTTAATGCTATCTTAAATAGACTGAAATATAAGCTCTGAACATTAGTATATCTTTCAGATGAAAACAGGAAAGATCTTACTTAAATTAAAAGAAAAAATGTGGCATATTTTACTATTATCAAGCCTCCATCAGGTAACAACTGATGCAGATTCTGTAGGAGCCGGAGTACACCTTATCAAAATAATTCGTTATTGCAGGAAGAAACGAAATAGGAGAAGCTAAAGAAAAAAGTCAATGTTTTTTATGAAAATGGAAATTCGAATATGAATAGTTTTTTTTCAGAAAATCAACGATATTTTTACAATGAATAATTGCCAGAAAACTTGTAGTAAAATCCGCGACTTCGAATATGCACTCACGTGAAATATGTCAGTTTCTTTACCAAATCGTGAGAAAACGAAAACTATATTATTTTTGACGGAACCAATTTTTGTAACTGTCAATACTTATCCTGGAAGGCTTCTAATCAGAGATTTTATCTGCTGCAGTAGTCACAGATGAGATTAAGTTCCTCAAAAAAGAAGAAAATCTGACCATTTTTTTACAATTTCTATTGCTAAATACTTATATTTAAAAATGTATTTTTTGGTTATTTGGTTTAGATGCTGCAGATAGATTCTTCTCGTGTTATAAGATAAAATAAAATATTGTATACTGTATCCTGACGATTAAAATTAAATATAAAGTAAGTAATTACTTTCACTTTGACAATTTAAAATTAATTAAAACACGTAAACTTGTGAATTTATTAATTTGCCCTGTTATTATTATTATTATAAAAGTTTTGGTTCACTATTTAAAATTATTGATAATTGCAACCATAGAACAATGTTCGTTTTTGTTTCCACCTTTGTTTTTGTATTATTCTTTTTTTTAATATAGTATCTTTTTTAATGTAATAGGCAACATCATACAAAATACAATTAAAAATCTGGGGCCAAACAAATAATTAAAACTATCAGAAATAAAATTCTACGAGCATATTAAAAAACTTCTTTGAAGCCAGTCCATTTTTAAATATTAAATGCACTTCAAAATAATAAAAAAAAACTCTCGTATATACCAATGTCGACAACTTCCATTCAGCATTATTATGTAAGTAAGTATCTCCTTTTCATATACTTTTTACCCTTCATGTTAGTGTTTTTTTGTGCAAGTATAGTCAAAAAGTCAGAAAGAAAAACCATCAAGTGTTTTTATCTCGGTCCACTCTAGTTTTCCAAAACGTCTAGGTAGAAACGTGTAAGGGTCTATTTTAATGACGCTCCAGCCGTGCGTATGATATAAAACGCATTAAACTTTGCAGCTCCGTAAGTTTCGTCATTAACGGCCGTCCTCATGTCGATAACGACCTTCGAGAATGTCTGTACGATCTCCTCGAATACTTTGACATAAAAATGCTAGGCGATGAGCTTTTAAACGGCTCGCCTTCTTCTTTTATGGCTTTGGATTTTATGTTTCCGGTATTACAACGTCAGCTTAATTGACACGAAGAGGCTGAGAAGAAGTTTTCGTTTCTCAATAAGGATCGGTATACGTTCTGTTCATATTTTTTGTCGTAAAACTAATTTTATTAATAATAAAGCAAACACCCTATATGCGAGATCACACTTTTTTATAGTTTTGTTTGCGACAGAGAAGGAATTGAAACACAAATATGTCAAAGAAAATTAAACCAGCGTTCTTTAAGACAGTTCAGTTACCTTTGGATCCTTATCGATTGGAACTTTTCTAGCGTCAGAAGCTGGAAATCATCCGTCCGCTGTTGTGATTTTTAAAATCTAAAAATTCTTCCTGGATATTATCGAATAGCTGCAGGGAATCGGTCGCGAATAGATTCCTGGTTTCCAGGATGTTGATTCCGTATCAACATCTGCTTATAACCTAGGATAACTCTTCTTCCTAGTACCGACAGTGCTTCAGAATATCGTTTTGCAACGTATTGTTCCTTGATTTTTTGGTCCTTCATCTGGTCGTTAGTAAAAAACGCCATGTTTTCAAATGAGGTTTGACATGTCCATATCTGCAATTTAGCTATGAAACTTTCATTATTGTCGTAATTTGCCAGCATTTTAATATTTCTTCCCTAAATGTTATCAGCATGGAAGCCAGACAGCTCAAATTGTTAAATATTCAAAAATAGTGATATTTTGTAATTTAATTTATATAAAATTGTTAGTTTATTACCGTTGGCAAAAAATTAAATTGTGACTTAAAAATAGATACTGATATAGCAGGAATTTTAAATGTATTATACTTTGATTAAAAAAAAACCAAACAAAATTCGTTTTATCAAAGCATATTATTGTTCTTTTTTTCTTACATATTTTTGTATTTTATATTACAGATGTATAATGTTGAAAAATACATTAGGGTTTGTAGGGAACCACAAATGTGTAAATCTTTCTCCGGAAGAATGTTCTTCGAGAATTAAAGTTTGCAGCTTGCATTTTAGTGAAGACAGTTATAAGCTTAATGCAGCTAAAAATAGACTTACAAAGAATGCAACCCCATTAATAAATCTGCATACCAAAAAATGTAAGTTGTCTCAAACTCGCCAGAACTCACGCCCCTAAAAGTTACGCGAGCACTCGTGTACACAGCATTTTGCTCACGCTTAACAGGTAGTCTCAAATATGTACCATAAACATAATATGTAGTATGTTTGTTGTTAATTATGTAATAAAACACATATGATAGTTACCGTTTTTGACAAAATGGCGCCGTTTTCAAATCTGCTGTGAGCAAAATGCTCATAGCGCGAGTTCTGGTGGGTTTTATAATAAATGTATTTGTACCTGAATATATTATAGTAGGAATATTTCAACATGACGTGACTGACTTCTTAGGTAGCCATTAAACCATTTATTATTTTTCTATTTTAGATAAAGCGACTGACAAAGGAGGTGAAGATATCATCGAAGTATACGTACGTAAACAAATTATAGTGATGCAAAAAGTAAGCACTGATTTGCAAAATAACTTTTTAATTTATTGTACTATTACTATGTTATGTAAAAAAAATCCCTAAGCAATTTTTATGTTTTAGGTGCATCCAGTCAAACCTCAAATTGTCTTTCGAATAGAACTCCGAGAAAAATGCAGTTGAGAAAAAAAAATTCATGCATTGAAGAGGACTGCAAACAACCTCAGGTGCAGAAGAAGGCTGGATCGTAAAATAAACTTAGAAGATGTTTTAAGTTTTTTAAAGGAAAACTATTTTAAAGAATCGTTCAACTTTTTAAAAACTCAGCTACAAATTCTAAAGAAAGCACCAAAAGGCTCGCGATACACGGAGGAGTTTAAGCAATTTGCTTTTAGTATATATTTTTTAGGCCCTATGGCCTATAAAAAAATTTCCAGCGTGTGCAGACTACCTTCAAAAGCGACTCTTCAGCGATTAACTAGAAGATGCGTCATAAACCCCGGTTTCAACGATTTTATATTTCAAGTTTTAAAAATAAGAGCCAGACTTTTTGGGAAAAAAGAAAAAGATTGTTTCATTTATCTAGATGAAATGTCAATAAAATCGAATCTTTTTTATGACATTTCAAAAGATAATATCGTGGGTTTTGAAGAAACTCAAAACAGACGGAGTACAGAACTTGCCACTAGTGCACTAGTGGTGATGGTGCGCGGTGTAGCCTCTAATTGGAAACAGCCGATCGCATATTTCTATTACAAGTCTGCAGCAGTACCTAATGAGATCAAAGATATCTTGTTTGAAGTTGTCATAAGGTTGAGCGATGCTGGTTTAAATGTCTTAGGTGTAGTTTCGAACCAAGGACCGAATTTTCAAAAACTTGTTAAAAATTGTTTAAAACTGACCGAAGAATTGTTTTTCTTTTTTGTAAATGGTAAAAAATTAATTTACATATTTGATGTTCCTCACCTACTCAAATCAACACGAAATAATGTTTTTAAATACAAATTCTTCATGGAAAATGGAGAGACAAATAAAAAATATCTGGAAAAAATGTACAGTCTAGATAAACTAAAGGAGTACCGACTATGTCCTAGGTTGACTGATAATCACATTTTTCCAAACAACTTTCAAAAAATGAAAGTTAAGTACGCTTCTCAGGTTCTTAGCCATTCGGTAGCTGTTGCCCTAAACACCTACATTGATTTTGGAATTTTACCTATTGAAGCAAAATCAACAGCAATTTTTGTTCAAAAACTATTTGATTTACTTAACTCCTGTCATTTAAATAATTGTAACGCGGTTATGGGTACTGAAAAGCAGATTGGGTTTTTGAAAATAATGTTATATTTATTTGAAAATGTTAAAGTTATGGACAACCAAGGAAAAGATGTAACAAAAAAATGCGATTTCTTTTTGGCTGGAAAATGACCATAAGAGGTGTTTTAGAATTATGGCAAGACCTTAAAAATAATGAATATAGTTTTTTGCTAACACGCAATCTTAACCAAGATTGCCTGGAAAATTTTTTTGGGCAGGTGAGAAATTGCTGTGGGAACGCAAGAAATCCCACTCCAATTCAATTTTGCAGAGCATTTAAAAAGCTTTTCCTACTTGGGTTTTTAGACGAAGTTAATGGAGCAAATTGTCAAGAAGACCATAATGAGCTTTTACTAAACCTCCACTGAACTATTAAAAACTTGCAAAGAAATTTTTTCACCTGTTACACAAACGCCTCTTAAAGTCTTTACAAATGACTACAGAAATCTAAAAAGTACAGAAGGAAATGTGTTATTATATGTTACCGGTTATCTTTTGCAAAAATGTTTGATGCAACATAGCTGTGACATATGCATACGCTATAACAATTCCAATGACTTGGAAGAGCAAATGGCTGTTTTTTGCATTTCGGAAGCCTACAACTCTTCAAAAAACGTACAATTTAGCGGTTTAACTATTCCACCTAAAAATTTAGCAGAATATGTTGTTAAACTAGAAATAATTTACGTCGAAAATTTTAATAATATTGCAAACTACAATAGTATTGGACGTAAATTAAAAGAATCTTTTAAGTAAATTCCATTTATGCATCCTTGTTCTAATTTTCCCATTGAATATTTTCTCTCAGTGTATGCCAGAATGCGTATTTACTATTCAATTAAATTCATAAATAGAAATATTAAGGACAAAAAGCTTAATAAACCAAACGCTAAAATAACTATATTACAGAATCTGTAAATGTGTTCCTTTTTAAAATAAAAACAATTTTTTCATAGAGACATTGTTTCTTTTTAGCGTATTTAAAAAATTATTTATTTTTTTTATTGTTCTTTTACTCTTTTTTTGTCAAATAAATAATGTTCTTAGTAATAAGTATAAGGGGTTAAAGAAAAGGTCCTTTATTTCTCACAAGTCTTGTGAGAAATAAAGGACCTTTTCTTTAACCCCTTATACTTAATCCCTACTACTCACATATGGCTACCCTCACTCCAAATTCTTAGTAATAGGTATATTTATTTCTATTTTTAAATAAAATATAAAAATATTTCTTAACCATATTTTACATGGCACCATACAATTAATGTTGCGCCAACTATTCGTTCAACCTCCGTAACTTATTACCGTCGCACAGCTCATAGTAAGCGACTAACACCTGTATGCCCGGGAATGTGTGTGAAGTGACGAAAAACGGCGGCAAACTTGTGCGTAAAGGACTTCAAAGGCGACTGGGAGAGTGGATTTACTATTCTTTGTTTATAGACGGTGGTTTTGGTACCGAAAACCCAAAAATTGACAGCTATCCGTAAACTAGAACAAATTCAAAGAACATCATGTCTCAACATAAACAGGAGCCATGAAAACAACATTGTCCAAAGCCATGGAAGTCATTCCTAGTCTCAGTCCCCTTGATACTTACATAGGAGGTTGCTCTCACGACAATGACTCTGGCTGTCAGCATCCGCACTCTGCAGAGGGTGCGAACAAAAAGATGAGACCAACGCGCATATTCTTTATGATTGCTTGACGCTCTCATTTAATAGAAGATTTGTGTTCGGCGAGTATCGGCTAACACCGGCGATATAAGAGAAGCACCTTTTAGCGACATTGTCAACTACATTAAATTTGTAGGCTGGCTCACGATCAAGAAGGTGCCTATCATCTTAGGAGGATGCACAATGGTCCTAGTAAGGTCTAAGTGTCGTGAAGGTAACCCACCCTTCACACGTTACAAATACAGATACTGATTATAAAATGCATATTTTCAACGGTATTTAACTGTAACACTTTAATTTGAACATGCGGTATAAGTAGATTCTTTAGCCCGAATATGACAAACAATAATTACCAGCAGTATTTAAAAATCACTTTAGTCTTCTAAACTAGGTTATCATATTAAAATATCCCACCGTATTAAACTAGTCTACTGTTAGAATGCAGTTGATTAGTTTTATCGCCTTTTATGACCTGCCGAATGTACCTGGGATATATCCGTATGTTATTCCCTGGATGCCCCATAGGGAGTAATGTGCTTTTATTGGTCCATAAAACTACTTTCAGTCGCTCACTCATTCGCGATGTTGAATCGAAGAAATAAATTGTCGTAACTACCTTGAACTATCCATGTGTATAAATGAATATTCATAAAGTATGCTGGAAACGGTTGTTTTTGATAACTTTAGTCAAAGTTTTAAAGTAGTTTCAACAAAGAATTTCGTAAACACAATAATCCTTCTCGAGCATTCTATCCTCTAATATAAAATTATTAATAAAAAATTAAATTTACTTAGACCAAAATTTTTTATTGACGCATCAGCGCCGGTATTATTAAACTTTATAAGCCGCCTTGATCAGGACCTCTATATCGCAAACACCTTTTCTCTTCAGTAAACTTGTTTAAATTTTTAATCAAATACCTGGCGGATAAAACGAAAACAAAACTCTTGTACGTGACGACAAAACAAATTAAGTTTTCCGCTGAAAAGATTCGTCCTCCGGTACATTATAAGAATCCCGCGGGAAAGTTTAAGGTATGAGCGTGCGGCAATTAAGACCCGACCTGTAATTTAATCTTCAAAGTAGAATGGTATCTAGGAGACACGTTCCATAAAAGACCAAGATGTAGAAGTGGGGTAAGTCTAATAAATTTATAGTTCATGCGTATCCATTATACGAGACGTCAAATGCAAATTTTTAAATATAATAATTAAAGTGGCTGATTATTTAAAAGAATTGCATCTGACAAACACTGCAACCAAGCTAATGTAAAAATAATTCTTTAAATGTACATAATAGATTAGCAAGAGGTTAAATTAGGTGAATAAGTAGGATGATAATATTTTAACCATCTATGATATCAAAGTAGTCAAATGAAAATTATAAATATTTATATTTCTTAACATTGTTACTTTTTTTTACTTAATTGAATTTGAACGATTTTCACATTTTTAGTATTAGTTTTGCAGATCTAGATCTAATAAACCATCAATTTCTGAACTCTAATAATGGTCGTTTTTTAAGTTCCTCTAGGCACTGCATAAATTTTGCTATGTATGTCTAAGGTTTCGGAAATTAAATCCCAGGAAAGTGAGGAGGCCAATACTAAGGCTATTCCCCAAATCTTAAATATCCTACGAAATATGCAACGAAACAGCCAAAATGGAAGCAGGAGATGCTTGAAGTTGCGGAAGAAACGACACCTTCAAAGAACCTGTAGAAGCATGGCCCATTCTATAAATCAAGAAATAGATCAATCTTTTCAAGCCCATCACTAAAACCAACAAGAATTAATTACGAGTAGAACCGGTTGATAAAGTTACTCTTCGGGCCACCACTATCAATCCAGAGGGCGACGAAGAAGAAATCACCCTTGAAAGTCTAAGACAGGGACAGAAGAAAGACAATTACTTAAAGGTTGTCCGAGAATGGCTCAAAAATAGTCACACCTACTTGGCAAGAGATAGCCAAATACAGTGGAACTATAAAAGGCTACTGGACCCAGTGGGATTCCCTGTATCTTCACGATGGTCTATTGCACCGGAAGTCGGACAGCCCCGATGGAGTACATGTAGTCCGCCAAGTGATACTGCCGAGGTCACAGGTGAGAAAAGTATTGGAGGAGCTTAATAGTAGCCTTCAGGAGGACACTTTGATACTAAGAGGACACTGCCACGAGTACAGGAAAGATT